CCAGGCCAGGTCACGTACTTAGTACGTCGCACAGGCAGGATTCCTTTTGCAGCGCATTGAGAGTGTCGTGTCGGACGAGGCTGAGCTGGAGATGGAGTAAGCATCTAAATACACTCACTACACGCCATCACCCTGAGTCCAGACTCATGTTTGAGCATGGGGTTTGTTCGCCATGCACGCAGTGACCGCTAACCCCAGACGTCCAGGGCATGTCGATAGGGTAAGCAGGTAAGATAGTTAAGCCGGCAAGTATTATACACAGTACATTTGAGGAAGCATGTAATTACATGTCCCTGAGGTGCGTATGTGCTGACAGCATCGCTTGCAACAGGACAGCTACACTACTTATTATTATTATTACTACGATTGCTGTACGTGTCGGCATCTACCGGCGCATCGGGGCTAGAGGCAAGGCCTTGTCTGTACTTGGTTACGGCGGGAGATGATCGTCTTTGCGGGGGGATGCAGATGCAAGCGATGACATGGTGGCTGGCCAGAGAGGCAACGCGCCGCAGCCCGCTGCAAAACATAGCATAGCGGCCGTGAGGACGCCCATGCAAACGTCCCGAGGGGCGTGGTTTCGGCGTCAGGACCTGGTAGAGTGGTGTATCAAGGGAAGGGGTGCGGTATTTAGTCGCTTGGTGCACAGCAATGGCAGGGCATATGCCATGAGACGGTGAGAAACAGGGACCAGGCCGGCGCCCCTTGCGACGGTGGCTGGCAGGCCAAGGCGTGTCAAGCAACGCCAGGACACAGCGGACGATGCTTAGTGACGTGTCTGCAGCAATCAAGGCCAGACGGGCAGGGAGAATGGGCAGGCCAGAGCCAATGGGTGGGCGCGGGTGCGGGCGCGACGTTGCAGGTTGCAGAGTTTCGGTGTATAATGTGGTGCAGCAGAGTCTGGCTGGCGGACCAAGCATCGAGGCTGTGTGTGTCCATGTTGCGACGGGCCGCAACGGGCAAACAGGGAAACACCACAGCCATGGCCGCCCGAGATGACGCCGGCGCCCTTTACATGCTCCAGCTCCCCATTGTGTGTGCTTGGTGTTTTGTTCCTTTTTAACTCGTCTGCCCTGACCTGCCCCCCTCGCATGCCAAACACCTCGCACGCCCGCTCATCCTGAACCTGCCGGCCTCAGTGGCTCCGAGCGCTGCAATCAACAAACTACGATACACAATCGACCCCTGCCAATCGTCATTGTCATAAGCCATGGCCCACAGCTCCCGTCCCTCGCGCGACTACCCCCACGGCCACGGCCACGGCCACGGCCACGGCCACCGCTCCTCGCGCGACCGGGCATACAGCTCCGACAAGCCTCGTAGTCGACGGCCCTCTGAAGACCATCGTGGCAGGCGGCGCGAGTCGCTTCCGCAGTACAACCACAATGGCCACAAGGTCACAAAGGGCATCCACCCCGAGGGCGAGAGTGGCAGGAGCGGCTTCCACCCCATCAAGTTCCTCGTCATCAGCGGCAAGAGCAGCAGCACCCCGTCCATGCTCGTCAACTTGCTGTGGCCCATTGTCCCAGTCGCCATTGCCCTGGTCAGTGAGCCTCATTCATTGCACACGCAAACCATTGCTCCCAACCTGCCACCCCCTGCTGACTCCGCTCGTAGCACTTTGTAAAGCCGGAATGGCACCTGGCCATCTTCATCACAAACTACATTGCCATGCTGCCTGCTGCCAACATGCTGGGCTTCGCCGGCCAGGAGTTCTCCCGCAAGATGCCAAACAAATCATTTGCCGTTGTGCTCGAGACGACCTTTGGCTCCATTGTCGAGATCATCCTCTTCATGGTTTTGCTCCGAACCTCAAAGGGCGACTCCAACGTTCAGGTCATCAAGGCTGCCATCCTAGGCTCCATTCTTGCCAATCTCTTGCTCTGCTTGGGTTCATGGTACGCACCTCTCCCAGTGCCCCAGTCCTTGTTCCCCCTGTCATCTAACGTCAACATCTAGCTTCATTGCAGGTGGACTCAAACACAACCAGCAGGAGTTCCACGAGGCCATTTCCGAAAACGGTTCTGGCTTGATGCTCGTTGCTGCCAGTAAGCTCATATCCGCACCCACCCACATATTCAGATATGCTAATACACTCCCATAGTGGCTCTTGTCCTCCCTGCTGTCTTCTACTCTTACCTCAACCAAAATCCCGACTACGAAAGCAACGTCGACATTGCATACAACACCCGCCTCATCTCCCGCGGCGTAGCCATCATCTCCATTGTCGGCTACCTTATCTACATTGTATTCCAAACGGTTTCCCACGATGGTCTGCTCCACGAAATCTACGAAGAAGACGATGCAAAGGACAAGGACCGCCATAAGGAGCTCAAGAAGCCCAAGCTCACCATGATGGAAGTCTTGGTAGCCCTCGTCATCTCCTTGGCCTGCGTGTCACTCGTCGCCATCGCCCTGGTCCAGGAAATCCCATACATTGTAGAGCGCGGAGTCAGCGACGCTTTTGTCGGTCTGATTCTGATTCCACTTGTTGAGAAGATTGCCGAGCATCTCCTTGCCGTTGACGAGGCCTATGACAATCAGATCAACATGGCCCTCGCGCACGTTCTCGGCGCCTCAATTCAGACGGCTTTGCTCAATGCTCCCCTAGTCGTCCTGGTTGGCTGGGGTCTTGGCGTTGGCATGGACTACAACTTTTCCATCTTCGATGCCGTTGCACTCGTGCTTGCAGTTCTCACTGTCGGTTCCTTCCTTCGTGACGGCAAGTCCAACTATCTCGAGGGCGTACTTTGCGTCATGACCTACATCATCATCGCTATTTGCGCTTTTTACTTCCCAAATCCAGCCGGTCACGGTGCTTCGGCAGGCCACGGTGCTGAAGGCGGTGCTGAAGGTGGTGCTGAAGGCGGACATTAGGCCTTCATTGTTGAGTGGTTTGAGGATATAGACCACCGCAATATTTGCTTCGATTTGAGATTTACACAGTCATGGAGTTGCGGAGTTGAATCCAGAAGGACTGACCCTCTGTTTCGATTCTTGAAACGAGCGTCTTCGATGCTCTTTCCTTGAACTAGCTTCACTTCCCGTTTGTACAGTCTGGTTTGTTCTTTCATACAGCGTACTTAGCGAGCGAATTATATCAATTATCTCTTTGCGTACACAAAACTGGCAATGTCATAATGTTACCAACATGCATGTGCACAATATACGAATGGCGAACTACAACGCATGCCTATAACTAACTATACTGTCAGAATGTGAATATAGCCCTGTATGCGTGGGGGAAGGTAGCGCAGTCGCCATGCCATATCCGCACTAGACCACTACCGCACAGACCACTACCGCACACACTTGCCGAAATATCGACCCCATTCTCCCAACTCTTTCTTCAGCGACAATCCCACTAACCCGACAGCCACCGCCCCTTCCCACGACAACCTCTTTTCCCAGCTCACACAAAAAGTCGCCAAAATGGGTCGCGTCCGAACTAAGACCGTCAAGAAGTCCGCCAAGGTCATCATTGAGCGTTACTACCCTAAGCTGTCTCTGGACTTCGAGACCAACAAGAGGATTTGCGATGAGATTGCCATTATCGCGTCCAAGAGGCTCAGGAACAAGATTGCCGGATACACCACTCATTTGTACGTGCAACTGCGCTGCGAGGGTTTGCTGGGAGCAATTGGCGATTGAGATGCCCGACGGTTCAATGGCAGCCTTTCAGGACTCGCGAAAACCAATGGCTCTCACCACAACCTCCACTGCAGCGCAATCAATAACTTCACCTGTCCAGCCACAATGACTAACAAGTTGTAGGATGAAGCGTATCCAGCGTGGTCCCGTCCGTGGTATCTCATTCAAGCTCCAAGAAGAGGAGCGTGAGCGAAAGGATCAATACGTCCCCGAGATCTCCGCTCTCGACTTCACCCAGAACAGCGAGTCTGGCTCACTCGACGTCGACCAGGAGACCAAGGACCTGCTCAAGAGCATGGGTGTAAGCATTTACCTTGTGCTATTCTTGATTCGAGGCAGTCCACTAACTTCAGTAACAGTTCGACAGCATCCCCACCAACGTCGTCGCTGTCTCTCAGCAACAAGTCGTCGAGCGCCCCCGTCGCTTCAACGACCGCCCAGGCCGCTCGTAGATGCGAATGCGAATCCACGATCCCACGGCCTCCCTTCTTCCTCCCTTCTCGATTTTCTGAAAACATGGTGTCTGGGAAAGGGTTTCTTCTGCCACGATTATGGCAAGGTTTTACGGCTATATACGGCGGCATGATGATCAGGAGTCAATGAAACAAAAAGGTTCTCCCCCCACTAGGTGTCGCTGAGTTCTCGTGTTCTTGGGCACGAGGACGATGCTTGATTGCCATTTTCCCTCCCCTTCCCCTTATGCTTGACGTGACACTAGTGTGATGTTGTGACAAGGTGCGTAGCTTCCTGAAATGAAGTGCCATCAATGAGTGCGACCCGGTGCTGTCAACATGGAGAATTGCTTGGCTTATATTCTATCCATTGTTTGGCTGCTACCGATTTTCTCTCTCCCCGTTCAATGTTTTCCTTTCTGAAGACAGGTATCTTTCTATTCTCATCTCTCGATGAGACAACTCTTAAAAACAGAATTCTTGAAGACATCCCTCACCATTCCTTCTCAACTCCTAACACAGGTTGCATACTCGAGGCAAGTGCTCGACGCATGTCAAGGCCATGCACCAGTATAGCCGTATAGTCGTTTATGCACATCTGACATGGCCGAAACACTCGGCTCGTTTGACTTGGTTGCCTCCTCGGCACCTCCAATTTGAATGTCTCTCCAACCAACGTCTAGCACGTCTTGATGTAAGCTACTTGGCCTGCTCATCGACGCATCTTCTGGCCTTCGCTTGATCTCCATGGTCCTTGCGGTCGCCAAAGTGGTAGCCCCTGTAGATATTGGTTCTATTATCGTGTTTGATATAGGTGCTCCTTCATCGGCACCCACAGTAGCCCTAGCAGAAGGCACTGAGGTTGTTACAAGTAGCAAACGGACCCATAGTAGCTTCATGTACAGAGGGCAAATTACCAGTGTCCGTGAGGCTCTGGAAATCGTTCCGCATAGAAGTTCAACCCTTGTTGACAAAAGTTGGTCCAGGGCCGTTTTCCAAGCTCGGGTACCGGCCACGGCAGTCATGCGTACGCTTCGTAGAGCCCGTAGTGAATGCTGATGAATTGAGCGTCTGAGAGCCTAAAGCATTGGGCGAAGAAGAAGCGATAGTCTTTACACGGAAGCTGCCTTTGTTGAGAGTCCGATGTCGTCGATGATTGATATATACAACAGTCCCGAGACCGGAAATCAGGATAGTGAAAACAGCAGTCGTTATTCCCGCTATATTAGATGCTGGGAGAACCATGTCGTTCCAAAGGGACTGATCCAACTATACTAGACGGTTTGTCGGAGGAATGGGAGTGTGGAACAGACTCGTTATGAAATTGAGCATAAACAGCTACTGAATCTACTTGTCAATAAGTTGTATGATATGATCAACATGAAAATTTAGAAACAAGTCGCTTGCTCAATCTGGTTCTGGTAAAAGATGATAAGCCCTATGTGACATTGTAGCCGACGGGAGACAGCATATGGCACCGACATTCGATGAGTATGGCAATGTCGAAACAGGAGGTAAAACCCAACACCAATGCCACATCGGAGGAGCATTACAAGTCCACAAGCAGCATCTTGGAAATATTTTACTTCATATTGGGGTAAGTTTGGTTCCAAGATTGAGTCAATATCGTTTCCACTACTTCCTTGCCAATGCATGCACACCATATCAATCCACCAGAACTGATACTACAAAATTGAGTTACTACTCATGTCTGCAGTAAGTAAAGTCCTGTTCTTCAGCAACTCTGTTTCCATTTAAACTTTTACCGCTAATGCAAGTTTTTATTGGATTTTGCAAACGGAAGCTGAACGGGATGTAGATGTGATGAGTTTAATTAAAATAGCTATATTTCATACAATATCATTATAAGAAACTAGAAATGAGTTGGCATGTTTTATACATGCAGTCTTGCTTGAATGTATTTACTGAGTAGTGACATGGCGCTGACTTGTATCAACAATACTGTCTGTCTAGTTGTTTAGTCAGCTGATTACCTGCTACATCCGTGAATCCTCGGATACCCTTACTGTAAACGGCTTTATGTGTCGCATCCTCGTATTCACGCGAAGGAATCGTAGCAGGTGAATCGACAGTGCGTCGGATCGTCCATATCCTGAGTTCTATACAGCATATCCCAATCTCAAGAATCAGACGCTCTAATAGTATGATGCTCGCAAATGAATTTTGTGGGTTGCTTCTCGACAGAGACGTCTGGAAGAGGTAGATCCGTGCCACAGTATGTGGGACGGTCTTAACACCCACAGCTGCCTTCTAGGTCACTGTCTGTTTGAATCCCAACAAATGTTGTGGTTTTGTCTCTGTGGTTGCAATGACATGAACAGTTGACGAGAAGAATGGAATATTGATCGCCGAGAGTGATAAGTATGTCAACTCAGGCGATCCTGGTCAAGATACCGCTCACAGGCTTGTGCATTCAAGCGCTCTCTGCGTGGCAACATGTTTCGGTGGTTGGTGAAGTGAAACGACAGCAGGGAAAACACCAAAACATATAATGAAGTTATCCGTGACACTGAGCATGACAAGATAGTAGAGAAAGGAATACTTCTTCTGGCGTGTCGTGGCGCTCGCGCCAAAACTTTGCCCTAGGCCGTTTACAACCATGTCGTTTGGACCACGATTTGGCTGGGGTGACGGCACGTCACGTGCAGCTCCAATGCTCTGCCAAGCAGACCCCTAGCAGCGCTAGCTACGCGAGCGTGAATGTTTTCACCTACACTCTTGTTCTGACAACCCCAACCACCCCGCAGCACTCGGCCTCAACCGCAAACATCTATCTCAACCGTGGCCGGCCCGTTTCTGGACCTTTCTTCTCTGTGATTACATACTGACTTGCAAGTGTTCAAGTTACCCCATTCGGTATATCAGGTCATCTGTCGCGCTTGGATCAACATGTCACCTGCTCCAATCGCCCAGACTGCCAGTACCTTGCCCTCGTCGCCACCACAGCAGCACCTCACTCCCAACTGTGAGTCAATGTTCACTCGAAACATGTCCGGTTAAGATCTAACGCTGTGTACAGCGACACCTATCCCTGCTTCCAAACACTTTGATGACATATTCCACGCCAAGTTCATGAACATTATCCAGGAATGGAAGAATGACCCCTCTCGTGGCCAACTTACCCAAAAGGATCGCAAGACTTTCATCGAGACTGCGTTTTCCGAAACTGACGAGCTCTACTTTGGCCAACGCGTAATGTCCGACAATGACATTAAGCTTCGCGCTCTGACCAAAGTCTTCTACAAGGTATTAGCCGAAGAGCCCTGGTCTGAAGACTGGATACGCGCTCCGGATGTTGAGCGCAAGCTTTCCAAGTTTGAGATGCACGAGGACTCGGTTGCACTTGCAAAAAAATACGGCTTTACCACTCCGCGCGAGGCTGTCAAGGCTGCACGCGAAGCCAGTGTCAAGAATGCCGATATCCTCAAGGAGGCGCAAAAAGAAGGAAAGACGGTCAAAGATCTCAAGCTCGACCGTGGCCCGTTTGACGACATTGAGATTGTGTACATTGCCGGCACAGTCTCATCATCAGCAACAAGCAAGATTGATCGCAATAGCATCTACCCCGTCTCAGTATCCTCAGTCGCCAATGTTCTTCAGAACCATATTTGTCGGGACATGGTGCGGCCTTACTCGATGGCTGAGCGCTTTGTCAACTGCACTGACACGAGGGATCTTGAGGAAATGCGACGTTTTGCTTGCAACGTGTGCGACTTTTGTCCCCACCTCCTTGATAATGATAACGTTAGTCTGCTAGTAGTACTCCTCATTCTTTCACGGTCGGATTGCTGTCGCCGTTTTGAGGCCAATGGCATCCGTATTGAGGGCTCGACCATCAGCCATCGTAAGGCCGAATGTATGAAGAACAAGATGGGATGGAGGACCAGCGAGGATAAGAAACCCTACGACAACTTTGCTCAGGAGTTCCAGACACGAGTCAAAAATGCCTGCTTCCCAGCTCCTAGAGCTCAGCGCATTGGCGGCCGGAAGCCGGCGCGTACTTCTTCCACTCCTACAGCCACTCCCATCTACCTCCACAGTCCAGTCGGCTACATGGCACCTCCCCACGCCCATCAACACCACGCAAACGCCGGCATCAACGTTCCTGCTCCACCGCCCTACAATGGATTCTCACAGCCAGCGCCCAACACGATGAAGATGCAGCAGCCTTTCGCATCGCCTGGTGGCAGTAATGCAGAGCCCATGGATCTTTCTTAGATGCATCAGCAGCTTTTGCATAGAGGCACCACCCCTTCTCCTTGGACTGTCTTACTGCATCGATATGGCGTCTTCCTGGTAGTTTGTAGATTCTTCAAAAGGGACATTCAAATGGCGTTTGGCGGTTGAAGCGTGGTTGAGCATTCGTGGCGGTGGCATTATGCAAGCTCTGGTCTGACTTGAGCCACTTTGATGTACAATAGCCAAATCTGCGCCTTTCACGGCTTTGTAATGTAAATCTATTAAACAGCTTGGCCTCGTTGTAAGTGCATGGCAGGACGGTGGTTTAATTGTGATTGCCGTGTCCAAGTTGCGAACCATGGCAGAGTGTGGACCTAGTCAAGAAGGTGCAGGTACACTGGGAAGATCAGCTCTAGTGCCCAACAACCGAGTTCTAGACATCATGTGTGCTTTTTGGCGTATCGTTTGGCCCTACTCCAGTCGTCGACCAAGTTCGGTTGCCAAGCCAAGGGGTCGTTGGTGCTCGACGCAGAATGATAATCGGTTGACCGGCCCCTCACTCACCAAGTCGGTAGGTAGTGAGTAGGCTGCAATCATGGAGCTCACCGGCTTTGACCTCTTTGCCTTGTTTCTTTGTTCAAGCATCTTCGGCTTGCTCGTGTCGGTATGGTCCAAGGCATGTCGCCCACAACATGTTGACTTTTATGTTTGTATACTGACACTCTCAGTCTGAGCTCATCAGTGGGCGCGAGATGACGCTTGTCGTAGCAGTGTTTGTGGCGGTCGTGGCAATGCTATTCACGCAGTTTTCCACAAGCAAAGTGCTGGCTGACTTCCTGTCCAAAGACGTCAGCAGCATTCACAAGAAGCAGCTCGAGGACCTGACAGAAGCCCATGGCCGCCACACAGCTGGAATGAAGAGCGAGCATTACGGCGCACATGTGCGGCTACTGAATAAGCTCAACGATGCAAACGCACGGTTCGATCGGATTTACCACGAGTATGAGCAAATGTCGACAAGGTATCAAGAGCAGATGCGCAACATGCAAGAGAAGGAGGACCGAATTCAGTATCTCGAATCAAAGCTTGGGGAATTCGGGCAGAGCAGGACTAATCTTGCTCGGGTTCCTTTGTCTGCTCCGGCGCCGCAAATCAGCTTTATGAAACCACCACGTCGCCAAAGATTCAATGAGGGAAGCCGATGGCCTCCTTCCACGGGCCTGCTTCCCAGGGTTGTCGAAGCTGAGAACGAGTAGTTGCTGCTGCGCATGGTGCTGGGAAGGAGTCTAGGGGGAGACGTGATAGATTCTGCACCTTGCAGTTTCCGGATGAGTATTACCATGCATCATTTTGAGGTTGTTTCATCATGGCCATAAGTGGAACATGGATTCGCCATTGAAGAGGCAAATATGGATGAGGAATAAACAAGGGTTAAGTTAGGCCGACTGGAGCAAGTGAAAAAGGCATAGCAAGGTTGTGGCTTCCGTTTTGGGCAGACTTGGGCTTGTTATTCAACGAGCAGGCGCGATGGGCACATGGACTTGGATCGTGGCTTCCTCACCAGTGCGATACGTGAGGCGTAGTGGATACATGGTGCTATACATGCTTACATACTACTTACTGGCCCTCTGCTTCACCTGTGCCAGGGCTTGAAACGTGTTGCTTTCTGTGAGCGAACACTGATTGCTGTTGTGACCAAAGTCATTCTACCAAGCATTTTTCTCGTGGATGCACACACAGCACCAGGGATCCCATGTCCAAGTCTACACATAGACTTGGCTCAAAGTGAGTAGAACCGTTTCCGCCCCATGTTCGCACCCGCCGTTGCTTGCAGGCAGACTGACGAGTGCATTGCAGCC